ATCGTGGTGGATTGTTGTTCCGAATCGTCGTGTTCCGTTGTCATTTTTTTCAAATCCATCCGACACCGATGGAATGTGTGCAATTCATGCATTGTGGTTGACCAAAATTAAAGTGTCGGTCATAGTAGGTTGGTTTCTTTGTTATTATTCATTATGCTCCTCCCTTCAGACTTGACCTATAGGGATCAGCTCGTTATGGATGGGGCCGAACTAAGATGAACATTCACCCTGGAGTGACTCCAACCGTGAGTGTTCATTGCCCCGCTTCAACGGCGTGCTATGTTGGTCCAAATAGCATGAAGATCGTGCAACATACGCGCTTTCGTTTGATCTTTAGACTGTAAAGTAGTTTCGACAAAACTATATTTTCATTTAAAGTATTCGGTCGCCATCATCAGAAAACCCCAACTTCTATCATTATTGTATTCGCAAATGGTTGGTTTCAACCCCACTCCTCGCCGAGTGCGGAAGTCAGGGGCGCAGTTATGTCTTCAGTCAAGAGGTGAGTATAAAAAACTACTTTGATGGTTATACGGCAGGAAAAATCGTTGCGGAGGAAAGAAGGCGAGTGAAGCAAAAAGCAGCCAAATGACTGCTTAGCCGTCCTGGGGAGTACGGATATTTCGGTTTTTTCTAGTGTTAAACCAATAGAATGCGAGGTGCTTCCGAAATTGGGCTCAGCAAACAACGCAAAAGCTCCCCTCGCAGACAGTTAATTCCAGTACCTCGAAATTCAGCATACCAACGTCACCGATTAGTCAACAAGTCGATTGAAAACCCTGATGATGACACATCGCAAGTCACCAATTCGACACGGTGGGTCTATCCCTATTCCCATTGTGTTTTGAGTGTAGCGTGATACAACATTGCACTTCTGAAGTACGCCAACCATAAAAACGGGAAGTGCGTCCTTACATCTGAGAAACTTGTATTCAAACTTTTCGAGAACTAATCGTTAAGAAGTGGTATTGTGAGTTGGCTATCAGAAATCCACTCGAAGTACGACAGCACTACCGTCTTTTGGAAGTCTGACAGAAGGAATTTCCATAGAACTCGACTCATGATTAAGTGGAAGTGAAAGCGGAAGCAACGAGATTCTGTGACAGGCTGCATATGCCTGAAGTGAACCGACAATAAGCTGATGTCGAAGCCAGCATCCGGTCTCGAAGGCTTTGTCCGTCTTCTACGTAACAGCAATGTCTTAACCCAATACGGTTCACTGGTCGGATCAAACACCG